TGTGTGTGTGTGTGTGTGTGTGTGTGTGTGTGTGTGTGTGTGTGTGTATACACTGTTTTTTTCCCTATAGAATAGCTCTTTCTCCCTTCCCATGCTTTTTTTGTTTGTCTCTCTGTTTCACTCTGCCTACTCTTATCACACACCCCTCTATGCTTTTTTTTTTTTTTTACAATCTCCTTTGAGCAAAATGCAAACCTAGTAATGTTTAAATTCATATAAAAAATTTAACCCATATTATCTGAGTAGATTCAAAATTAGGTAGGAAGCGTTTGCCCATCCCCAATTAGGTAGCAGCATTTTGCTGCTCAAGCCATTAGTCCTGTGGAATGTAGGAATTATATAACATTTTGCTTTTTTCAGATTATAATTTAGTTTTATAGAAAGATAGTTCCTTATATCTGCCTGGCTTCCACCTATTCTGAATGCTCCACTAATAGTGATATAAGTTATCACTTGGTTATAGGGTAAAATGAAAAGCATTAGAAAAATAATTCCCAGCAGGTATAAGATACTGTGTCTTCACAATGGTCTTTCTAAAAATTCATGTCCATTATGTTTTCAGTCAAATAAAGTACTTCAGGTCATATGATGGAGGCATCAGTAGCAACTCCACAGTTAAAGTTGCACTGAGATTTGCACTTAAAGCACGACTGTTTTACAATGAAATGGTTGCTTTTAGTTTCCCATTTACAGTTGAATTTTCTGTAAAATCTTTTTTTCTGAAAGATGTTATAAATTTGGTAAAGGAAACATTTAAGAATGAGCCCTTTTTTGAAATTTGGCCATAAGCCTTGCCTTTTTCTCTTCTTCTCTCTCTCTCTCTCTGACTAACCAACTACTGTCACCACACATGGTAAATTTCTCTCTCTCACCCCACTCCTCCAATCTCACTGATTGGCCACTTCTCAAATTTTCAGGCCTAAACCTCATATCCAGCTCAGCTGAAATCAGTTTAGGACCAGCAAAAGGGGCTTTATACACCTTTATCTCCACCCCTAGGCCCCGTTTTGGGCCTGGCTGGATGCAATTATAATGGAGATCTACATTAAAGCAGCTTCAGGAAAATGACTAGATATACCACAACTGGGACTGTGAAGAGGGGCCTAGAAGCAGTTGAGCTCCAAATCTGCCTTAGAAGTCCTTAGAGCCTCCTCCATAAACAGACTGGAAAATCCCATGGCTTGAGACAAGGCTGGCATGACTATCACTGGTCAGAGCTTTCTAGAAAGCTTGATGCAGAGAGCTCATACATATCCCAAGAGGGAGCATATGTACTGACAATACTCGAAGGAGAAAAGTCACTTACTAGCATGTGAGTGATGCTTTTGAAACTTTACCATAGCAGAAGTTAGGAAAGTAGTATTGACTCATTCCTTAACCTTGAGGAGCACAGATATTTTTCAGATCTGAGGCTATAAATAAGTATTATATGATTATCATCAAGCAGCAGTTGAAAATATAGTACTATGTCAAGAACCTTTCATGCAGAAACCTAGTGGAATAAACAAACATTTTTTCTGCAGTGGCTTTGTGCCTGTCGTTACTTTTCAGTGTAGTTCTATAAATTTTTTAGCACTGTGATACGTTTAAACAATAGTAGAAAAGATGATATTTTTTCTAACATAAAATTAGTTTACCCTGTTAACACTGGGCAAAAAAAACAGTTTTGGTGCTGATCCTCTTCTCACACTGCTGTGAAAAGGGAGTGAGTCCCTTAAAGTCAATGGGGTTACAGAGTGGGGAGAGAATTGTATCTAAACAAGGAATCCTTTATGCCTAATCCAGTTTCTAATTCTATATTAATTATTAAAATACAGATTAAATAAGTCTCCCAAATGGTCTGAAGTAAATAGGATGAAATTAAATAAGGACAAATGCAAAGTCCTTCATTTAGGAGCTGCACACATACAAAATGGGAAATGACTGCCTAGGAAGGAGTACTGTGAAAAGGGATCTGTGTGTTACAGTGGACCATAAGCTAAATATGAGTCAACAGTGTAACACTGTTGCAAAAAAACCGAATATAATTCTGGGCTGTATTAGCAGGAGTATTGTAAATAAGACACACGAAGTCATTTTTCCACTCTACTCCGTGCTGATTAGGCCTCAACTGGAGTGTTGTGTCCAGTTCTGGGTGCCACATTTCAGGACAGATGTGGACAAATTGGTGAAAGTCCAGAGAAGAGCAACAAAAATGATTAAAGGTCTAGAAAACGTGACCTATGAGGGAAGATTAAAAAAAATGGTTTGTTTAGTTTGGAAAAGAGAAGACTGAGAGAGAACATAACAGTTTTCAAGTATGTAAAAAGGTTGTTACAAGGAAGAGGGAGAAAAATTGTTCTCCTTAACCCCTGAGGATAGGACAAGAAGCAATGGGTTTAAATTGCAGCAAGGGAGGTTTAGGTTGGGATATTAGGAAAAACTTCCTAACTGTCAGAGTGGTTAAACACTGGAATAAATTGCGTAGGGAGGTTGTGGAATCTCCATCATTGGAGATTTTTAAGAGCAGGTTAGACAAACACCTGTCAGGGATGGTCTAGATAGTACTTAGTCCTGCCATGAGTGCAGGGAACTGGACTTGATGACCTCTTGAGGTCCCTTCCAGTCCTGTGATTCTAAGATGTTATTGCCCATAGCAATACCCTGTGCCATGATCCTGTCAGAATTCACAATTTCAGCACATCAATAGGAGACCTTTTAAGGTGTTGCAGCAAAGTGTTCCAGGTGATTCAGAAAGTCAAGGAATTCTTTCCTTTTAGTCACTGCTGAACTAATGACATCATGATGTCAAGGGACAATCTATGGCTACAGGTGCCCTCTTTCGGAAGAGATATAAAACCAAGGATCTGAACATATGGTAATTACAAAGTGACATAGGATCTGTCAGAGAAGGGATGTTAACACCACTGTAGCCAAATTCCAGCTTAGTTCATTACATTCTGCCTCTCCAGTTCATTTTAATTGGATATGGAATTCTGCTTCACTTCCTGTCCTGTTGTGCAGTGCTCTTACATCTTTGTTTATTACCGGAGATGACTGAATTAGAATGATAACTTTTTGTTACAAATATATGTATTACTATCAATTTGATCTTACTATGGATGAAAGGCACAAATCAATAAATTGAGTGTTACCTTGCATTAACTTAATTTTTTTATATATATCTATACACACAAAAATAAATTTAATACAAAAATTTTATCTGTAGAAAAATAAATTTAAGTTAATGCAGGGTCATTCTCATCACTTATCGAAGAGCTGCTCAGACAGCAGTAGAAAAGCAGAATTAAGAGAAACCTAGAAAACTGGGGGAGTAAGAGACAGTGATGTGGGAGCAATGGTCTAAAAGCTGGGTAGTGTGTGTGTGTGTGTGTGTTTCACATCTCACTTAAGAAAATGAAGTGTCTCTACCCTTGCTGCTGTTGCTCTGGAGATGGTTTTCTACCATTTTACATTTTGATAGGCGTAGCGTACCATCACAAAGACGTTTGTTCTTTAACCACAGATTAGTATTTGCAGGATATTAGAGAATGCAACAAAAGTAGCAAATACCCTAAAATCTCAGCCCCTTCCCATGCTGATTTCCTTGTGAAGCCAGGCAGGGGAGATGTGGCAAAACCTGGACATGAGGGCCTGAATGCAACAGAAGAAATGGGGTTCTTTTGCATCATGGAAGAGGATTCCTGGACCTCATGCAGAGAGTCTCCTCAGGTGTTCACTGGGGAGTAAAGCCACAGGAGTGAGTCTGTGACTATAACTGGATCCACAGGCCAGTTCCTCCGCACACAATTTTCTCTTTTGAAAAAGTGGAAATACAGGAGAACAACAGCAAGGTGACCTTTTTCCTCTATGAAATTTGGTGCAGAAAGAGAGAACCCAGTGCTATTCAGACCTGAGTGGAAAGAAGCCTGAGGGAGACAATTGGGCTAAGTGTGAGTTTGGCACTGAAGGGAGGGGGGCCACTCAATGGTGAGTGCAGTACAGATAGATATAAGGATAGTATGGTAGAAATGGCTCTGAACTGGATGCCCCAATCCTCTGGCTCAGCACTGGTGGAGACCAGAGTCGAATAGAGGGACATATTCCCTTCATCTAGGAGTCACCTTCCTGTAAATTAGAGGAAGCTGATCGTTCCTCATGCATCCATGAGTTGTAGGACATAGTTGTGAGACAGGCTGTAGCGACTGGCAATTCATTCATAAAACTATCAGTAGCTGGGTATGTGGTGACCATTTGGCAATTTACCTATCAAGTGTGAATGAGGTAGATCTCATGAGACATCTAGCCAAAGTTTTAGTTAAGTCGGGGTGGAGTTCATGGTCACAGGACATGCTGGTAACTGGCATAGGGAAGTGTAGGAAAGAGGTCCTGGAAGCTAAACTTAGAATAAAGGGGAGGGGAACATAGATCCAAGACATTTCTAGTAGCTTCCTCTGATGTGATTTGGCTCCATATGCAGAGCCAACTAGATGGGGAACGTCAAGCTCTCAACTGTAGATGACAAGGTGGTTGTGTAAAGAGAAGGGCGTTACATTTATTAGAGATTGAAGCGCTTTGAGTGGGCGGGGGGGGGGAAGGTGAAACTGAGCTGAAAGAGATGGGCTCAACCTTAACCAAAGAGGAACAAGACTGTTGCATGGAGATTTCAAGTTTCATGA